AACCTATTTACATGGAACCTTCTTTTAAATTTTCAATCCTTAAATATAAAAGTTGAATATTTTATACATTTAACTACAAAATCATTTTTCAATTTTCAATTTCATACATTTTATAAAAATTCGAACTTTAAATGCTTGTATAAAAAATTCTGCCCATGTATTTTTAATATTTTTCAACTGCTATTGTAACAATATATCAGAAGCCTTGTATTAAATTTTCACTCTTTTTGACCCAACAAATACAATTTTATTGACAATTATAGAAAAAAACTAAAAAATTTAAATTTGAAAATGTCTTTAAACAGATCTAACCGAATCAAAATATTTTGAAAAAATTATCAAGTATGGGAATTGATAAAATAAACTTATGGTGTAAATTTCAAGTATCAACAGTTTTTCGTTTTTAAATTACAAGAAATTAAGAAAATTGCTGTTCGGGAAATCGAGTGAATATCCAATGTTGTAAGAATTTTTAATTTTTACCTCCTCAATTCACCAACTAAATTCACTTTCCGATCGAACAAGATACTGAAGTTGACAGCCGAAGCATTATTTCGACTACTTATCCGTTATCGTGTACAAAGGAACAAAAAAATAAAGAAAAAAAACACAATATCATTGTAAAGTCAATACATTCATCACTCCACTCAAAATCTAAAATCGTAAACCGTACTTGTTACGCAAGCGCGTATATAAACTATACAAAAAAAAAATTTAATATTGATTATAACCAATGTTATTTCATTTGTCAGGTCTTTCTGTTGCACACTTATGCCTTGTACCTATATATATAATATATATAAATATATTTTATTATTTATATTATTATCTTCTTTAAATAAAACAATAAAAAACCCATGGAAATAAATACAAATATGTCAGATAAGACGTAATAATTTTCGTGTCATCACCATGAGTAAAACCAAGATTTAGACATAATTTTTCCTACCACCAGTAAGTCAATGGCAGTGGTGACTTCTAACTATATAAATTGCGATTGTCATTTGTGATCTACCGTATATAAACTCATGTCACAAAATATATTCATTAAAAAGTTAAAAGTTTATAGGTAGGTAGGTACCTATTTATAATTTTTTTCTTATAATATATTAGGTAGGTATGTATAATATATTGTATATGTTTATTATGTTTATTTTAACAATCAACATTGTAATCAATAATGAATAATTTATCGGTAAATCATAATATAATTAAAAACTAATATATATATGAATTTATTATATTTATTATATTTATGTATAGGTAAAATGGTAAATACATTTACCTATACATAAAGATATGAAAACCAGAAGACATTTTTGGCTTTCAATAATTATTGACTTACAGTTTTGCCTTTAGTGATTTGAATAATACATTAATACACATTGGTATTTTTTGATTTTTTGATTTGGCTAAAAAACATCTACTCCAAGGACGTGTTTTAATTTATAACCTACAGCGGACGAAGTCTTAGTAAACAAATAATACTGACATAGAATAACTACCTATATTAATATAATATTTTAATTTCAACTCTCAAGGTATAACGTAGAAATTCCAGATAGGTACCTAATAATTTTGGTGATACCTACTACACGAAAATTACGAAATATCTAAATATATATGTACCAATAATTGAATAATTCGATAATGTTTATCTCGATAATGTATTATACACCGATATATGCGGCGGTACGCATAATATATTATATAATACGTCATACGTGATACGTCGTTTATTTTGAATTAGGTGATGGCAGTTTTCTACATTCACTTATTATTGCCGTATTGATGATACTGCAGCTGAAGGTATATATTAAAACAAACCGATTTAATTAAATCAAACTGATAAGTGTAAGGTGTAATTACAGTAGGTTTAATAAATTAATAAGCCATGTCAACAAATTAATTGATCTTAATTGACCAAAAAAAAAAGAACCTATTTTAGAAAAAAATTTCCTAACAATATATTATTGTATTTTATTTTATCACCCCCTCCCCCCTAATGTCCACCACGGCACCACTGATGCAGGCAAAGAACGTAAAATGCATAATACATTCTGGTTATAATATTGTGGTATATACTATATTATATATACCTATAGGTACAACAGTGGTACACGTGTCCGGTGTGCAATACGTTGCCGCCTTACAGAGGTTAAAACTTAAAGCATTAATATTTCAAATATATTTTAAATTTACAAGGTTCATTGATGAAGTAGGTAATAATGTAGGTATTATATTAGTATATTATAAATATATAATATGTAAATGTTATCGTTTAGCTGCGATGTAGTGATACACTGATACCTTCATATTTTCTTCTATTCCTGGACTCTTATAAAATATAATATATGTAAACAAATTTTAAATCGTTATAAAGATTTAAAATTTTTAACTTATTAGTATAATATTTAAAATATATATTGGTCAGTTTTATATTATAATATTTTACGATACTCCATACTCTGTAGTATATTATGAGGTAAGGTAACAGTTAAACACTCAATATCTTCAATTACTATCATATTGCATGTTAGAGTGTTGCCAATATATACTTGATAATTGATAGGGTATTAGCCATTAGGTATATGGACAAACAATTTATAGGTAACTAGGTCATTAATCATAATAGTTGAAGGTATTCAGTTAAAATACGATGATAAATAGTTATACCTGCTACTTATACACAAGTACACAACTATAGAAAATAATTCTTTTAAAAGTAAACACTAATTTTTCTCGAAAATGATTGACGTTTTTAGAAATTAAAATTACCAATATAATTTGAAGTCATCTCAAAAATCATTTTTGAAACCGAATTATATTTTATCTATTTTTATCGTTTTAATATTATAAGTTTTTACTTTTTTGTGTGACAACAAAAAAACATTTTTCTTTTTCGCATTCCAATGTTTGCAGAATATTGTATTCCGTAAATACATACAAATCGAAAAAATATCGAATGAGTAATTAATTAGTTATAAAACAGTATTTAAAGCACAGTAGATTCAAGTATACCTAGACTATAATCTACAGTGATTTAAAGTTAAGATGAGCTGATACTCTAAAATTCAGAATAGTGTGCCTAGTGCCTACCTAATATTTCATTAGCCACTTCTCCTGTGCCTCTGGGCCTGGGGCGGCTCCAGAAACATGGTTCAAGTCATAATTTTCAGAAAATATCGATGATTTTTTTTTTACGATTTTGTTTTTAACAGTATAAAATTGTTTAGAAATACAGCTTGAGGGCGCGGCGCCCCTATGCCCTCCCTGGAGCCGCCCCTGCTCTGGACCACTCCGTTTCCGCTCAATTTGGAACAATTCCACACTTGAGTTTGTTGGATAACACAAATATTTATCATTGTAATATACTAATGGCTAATGTATTTTGTATAAATACTGAAATGAGTGTTCTTATATAAAATACAACTGGCCACAGGGGAAGTTTATATTTAATTATTATTCGTATTATACTATAGGTAGAAATATACAATATTGATTATAATATATAGTTCTATAAGTTATTACTTATTGTTTTCCCTTGCAAAACTAGCGATTAGCGATCTCTTCAGAATCAATTATTTAGTCATTTATAACACTATTGTATATTCGGATATTTCTATATAGGTACTCACCTGGCGAGTGGTGGGTACCCATATACCTTATATATATATAATTATCCAACGCGCATTAATAATCTCGAGTCGCAACTTCCGTCGTAACTCAACTAGTGTCTAGTAAGTACAAATAAATATATAATTATGGTGTTCTACGTAGACTGATAGAAATTATCAATATTTTCAAACTCTAGTCCACTTTCGTGATATTATACAAAATTGAATATACCACGGTCAAAGACGTACCTACACGCTCAACAGTTTTGAATAAATTAAACAAATTTCGAACACGACCTAGATCCAAGGCATATAATATCTAATGGCTACTTGGAATAATTAAAAGAATTCCATTGAACATTTACAATGTTATTATGTTACTGGTTGGGTCGTTTTCGTATATACCGTTTTCCTGCAGTCGTGTTGAGTATTCGAATATACTTATACAGGTTATACCTGCATTTTGACAAGAGTATTTTAATTTTTAAATACCTTAAAAATACTTTTTCTTGGCATTTTATTGCAGAATACTTAATTCTTTTTTTCCTTTACCGTTGTATTTCAACGACCAATATTTTTGTTTCGTATTTTACTGTTTTAAAAATTGTTCTTAAAATAATATGCTTCTTTTATAAGATCTCATAAAATATTAGGTATAGCCGACTCTGCAATATGACATTTTGTATATTATAAATGCATAATCATAACACGTCTCGCCAGTGGCGTAAGTATTTGAGTATTTCATTATATATTAAAAATATATATTTTACAATCCAAACAAACTGCATGGTAAATAATAAGTAAATAATATAAGAGAAATCGAGAGAATCGCGGTCCGCAAACAGCACCTCGAATTGATTTTAAATGTATCATTTTTTTTTCCTGGTGTTTCTGTGTTATGTTATTTTTTTATCGTACATAGGTACCTAACCTAGTAACCTACCTATTTCCTGGTAAAAATCAGAGTTTGTTTTTGGTCTGCGCTCTTCTTTATATCAGAATCGAATTTTTTCAAGGAAAAACGAACACGCTCAGAGCGAAACGGCGGACAAGATTAAAATTAATAATTATGTTTTACTAGTATACTATACCTAAGTACCTACCAACCTACCTCAAAGTAAATGTCCATGCTAACCTAGTGTATAACTGAATGATAATAATAACAAAAATATCGTTTTTGGCGGCTGTGGTGGCGCAGTGGAAGGGGACAATTATTAATGCCGCGCATGGTCGACATGGATCCTGTGACAGTCAGTGCATCTGCCTATCGTTGTTCGGTTGTGCGTCGTCGTCGTTCGCGTCGGTCCAACGTTTTGTGCGCCCGCCCGCACAGTATCGAATAAATAATAATATCTAACTCACGAGTGTCACAATAATATTATCATGGGCAGATTGTCGTCGAAGTTCATCATGTTCCGCATCGGGGTGATTGTCGCGTTCAACAAGCTGGTGGTGTTTTTGACCAGCATCATTGTAAGCATAACATAAACCCTAAATTATTATTATTATTATTTATATTATACGTTGTATCGTACCGATATATTATATTGTGATGATACATTTTATATAATCCTATCGATCTAATTCACCGCTAAAACGATGTCTGACCGCCTGCCGTCATTATTATCTTATTTTATCGTCACAATCGCGGGGTGTTGAAGACGGCACAAACTATCCTATACGGCCTTATCAATATTTATATTGGTGTTGTACCTATTATAATATTTTGAACTGCCCCGATAATATTAATGATAATATAAATCAAAGCGTTTCGTTATGGTTACGGACACTTTAAAAATTTCAAAGTAGCATCTCTCCGCTCTCGCATTATTATGATTATCGTAATTATACACGGTTCTCGCGTAAAAAAAGGAATAACGCACTCGGAGATAGCAAAACATCTGATTTATTATCTACGCCGCCCAAGATAGTCAGTCGTGATGATAACGTTTTTTTTTTATGTTGTCCGAGACCATAGTACCGGGATGCATAAAAATTGATTAATTTAATGGTTTAATAAAAATCGACAGGCCAATCGTTTACCACTAAATCATATTCAACTATTTAAGGGACCATTGGCTCACTATTGATTCGTGAAATGTTCAATGATTGTTCATGCCATCAGCTGTCATTCTACGTTCTATATAGACGTAATAATATATCGTACAGCCTGAGATAGAAGATCCGAAGTATTGCTCGTCAGTTATCAGTAAACAAGATGTATAAAAATAGTGAATGCTCTTCTCCCCCCCCCCCAGGACTCTTTGTTTTTATCCTTCGACAACACCCGTTCCACCGCGGTCGATATTCGGACCCTCGTTCGGCCCTGCAGCAGCCAAGTAAACGGTAAATTAAGTGACGTACCTACCTATACTAAATGAGAACATACTATTATTATTATAGAGTATTATTCACTCTTCAGTCTTTTTAAATCTCGCGGACCTCATTCGTAATAAAAATGCAACAACAAATACATGCCATGCTTGAAATGTGTTCGAGGGGCCGCGAGTTTAAAATTCCTGACCTATATAATAGCAGTAGAATGTAGACTAGATATTATGAAATACATAGGAATGATAGGAGTATTAGACACAAAATGTTTAAATACCTTTATACCAAAAAGTATTAGAAAAAACTGTAAATTAGGTAAGTAGTTATAAACTCTCGTTTTTGGAAAAGTGATAAACCATATAAACATGTACAACTTTGTAGGTACCTACCTACTGCCGCCAACGAAAAATGTAAATATAAAATATTAGTTACACCTTTTTAAAAACTATTTTAGATACTTATATATGTTAATTACAGTATATTATGGGGTGAGTGCTTATTCATCCTTGTACCTGTTTTAACTGTTGTGAGGACGTTATAACATTCATATAATATACATATATATATATGTATATATTATTATACAATATATAGGTACACATTACAGTATTACATACACAATATGTCAATATGATATTATATCCATCATACGTCGATACGTACGATTGTAAAAACTACCTAATAAATTGTGACTATTTCTATACTTCTCGTTAAAATAGAAAGTAAGTTTATTTTCAATCTTCTAGTCTTCTAACTTACAAAATGTTTGTGTGTAGCATACTAGCACCTACTCGTTATTAGGCATACCTTTCTACCTTTACAGCCGCTATGCTTATACTGCATTTGTGGCTGTATTTCCTTCTAAATCGCACAATATTGTATGAATCTACCTACCTATAATATTTGATGTTACGTGTCTAGTGTCTCCGTAGTAGGTACACATCAATACATCATGGTTATTGGTTATCGATACATAACAGTAACATAAACAATAAATTACGTATTGTGTAACATTACTCCGAAGTGGATAAAACATATTGGAGATAATTCGGGTCCTATGATATACCTAGAACAGACCACGTATGTTTTCGTGCATGCTGCGTAGGTGTACCTTGTATAATTGTGTATGGATGCGATGTGAAGAACTGAATGTGCATACGTTTTGTTTCGTTTTGTAAACAATAAAAGTACTTTTGTATATTATTTATGTTGATGAAGACGTTGGCAAGTGGGGGGGGAGACTTGGAGGGTTGGAGAGTGTAAAATGAAGTGGAATAAGTAAAAAAATACCACCAATCGCCATACATATATCGGTATAACGTGGACAATTCAGGAGATTAAAATATGTAGAGTGCTATGATAATGTATTAGCTATATGACTATAATAGCAGTGGTTACATTTTTTTTCAGGTAGTAAAAATATTATGATGTAGGTACTTATAAATTGAGCCCGATATTTTTGTCCCATAGATATTATATCCATTCAAACTTTATTTTTAAGAATCATTTAACATTATACAATACACCATTATATGGTGGCATTATACCAATTGACTATAATAACTATAGACTATACCTAGTAGAGCCAACTTTTAATGTTTAATAATTTCATTTTAATATTGTTCTGCACTTGACGGTTATATTCACCGACATTTAAAAACGGTTTATAATATTCTTGTCCTCGCGTTTATTTATCATAAATCCAAATAATAGACAAAAAAATGTCACTAAGTTTTTTTCCATTAAATTTTGATGCAAATTTCAGAAGTTTTATATCACGTCATATGAAAACTTTATAATAAAATAATTATTAAATCATGTACAACACTGCTTTCGTTTATACATTTTGTAGGTAGCTACAAAAATACAAATATTAGTGTGTTTAAGAAAAAATGTCGGACGGCTAACGGAACTGGAAATTTCGTAACTCGTAAATGAATTATGATATAACTACACACGACATCAAAAACTCACATTAAATACCTTATACGACGTTCAAATTAAACCGGACGTAATAGACTTGTTTTGTACTAATGCCGCGCAGGCTGTAGTTTCTAGAAGTTAGAAGACCCACAATTTGTTTTTAAAATAATACATTTTGAAATTTAGCAATGAGTCCGACCTTGCAGATTATACCTAATTACTGGAAAATATTGAGAATTCACATTTTGAATATATATTGACGATTTACAAGCTGATCCTGCTCGGAGTTTACCATGATAAATTAAATTCCCATGGAGGATTTACCTTTTCTTAAGCCCCGTTAAACTGCACAGATTTTTATGCACAATTATTTGGGTTGTTTTGACTAAATATAAAATATAGGTCTAAAATTATATATTTACATCCAATCATAATAATTATTTTATTTTCTGTAACCAAATAAAAAATAATAGCCTTATTATATGACGTAAGTTATAGCATAATGGTTATATGTATATCGTACATGCATTTTGATTATAATATAGTCGACTACCTTAGTTATAAAATGAATTTTATCGATATTATTACAGCCGTGGTGTGTTTGGTGACTTGCGTATTGCTGAGCTTGCTATATTGCGCTTGTATTATACCTATTATACTAAAACACTATACCAATAGAAAACGTCGTTCGGTAAAACGCTGCTTAACTTACACAACTACACAAGTATTCTAGTCACCACAATTTTTACAAATATATGTTTGCATATTTTCCACGTTGATAATATAACCAATGTCACGTATGTACAATATGGTAATATACGATTAAGTATAGTTTGGACTTGCCTGTTGCGTTGCATAAAATATATTTTTTTCTCACAACGTAGGCACATTGTCATTTTCCCCAAATATTAAAATTAGCATTTATGTACTAGACATTATTTAACTTTCGAAATACTTTGGCTCAGTTTGAGTTTTTTTTATATATTTTAAATTTCCTTCTTTTCTACTTTTTATTTTCAATAAATGTTGATAAAAAATGTAATGCTGTTTGAAATTGTCAAAAAGTTTGAAAATTCAATACAATAGGTTCCTCATAAATTGTTTTTATAATTTTACCATAATTTAAAAAAAATAATTTGGCGCAAAGCCACATTAATTTCTTATGATGAGAACTCTCAAAAACTTCTCAAGTTCAAATTATTACAAAATTGGATATTTATACATAAAAAACTATTTTTGTTATTCTGTTGCAATTTAAAAAATATTAATGGTATTAACTTGATACATACCAACAATTCTTTTGCATACAGAATTAAGTTAAAAATATTATTCGCATAGTGACTTGAAATTTTTTGTCATTGTGTATATTATTATTAAGAGGACGTGATACTCGCATGTGTTGTATCCGTCTTTACAAGTGCATAACATAGAATATTTTACGCTCAGCAAAACACTCGTCAAACCGTTAATTTAAAAATTAGAGTAAATTAACAACTTATAAAATCTAAAGGTAAGATTATTATCTAGACGACCTCATGGGCTTTTCATAATATTTTAATTTTTAAGCTAGTTGTGAGTACTTTAAGATCTATAAACAATTTACAATTTTAAAATACTCATAGCTCGCTGAAAAACTAAAATATAATAAGAAGCTCATGAGGTTGTCTAGATAATAATCTTACCTTTAGGTTTTATAATAGGTCAATTCACTCTAATTTCAAACTAACGGAGCTACACGTGTTCTGCTTTGCGTAGATGAATTTTTTAATCTCAAATACCCTAAACAGTTGTTTAAAAAATGCTACGTTTTAAACACGTACTTACTACCTATACCAATTTAAAATTTAAATTGTAAAAAAAATTATTTCAATATTTAACAAGATACTTACCAATATGGATATATTGTCATATAGCTACACTTTACCCATACAATAATAAATAATAATATAAATTTACTTGCCTACTGATAACATTTGATAATGTATATATAGATTATAATATAGGCGCTGCGTTACCTACGATATGTGTCCACGCGAACGACTAGTTGTATAATATGATGGCCATTTTATATTTATATGACGTATTACCTACATGTTTATGTGCACATAATATCAGTGACCGTTTATATAAGTATTATAACCAAGAAGATATTATATTATAAATTTACCTTCGTTTTAATTTTTTACTCAAATTCATGTATAAATTCATGTACGAATATT